TTTTTTTTTTCCTTTTTTTTTCCCCCCACCCAAGAGCTCCCTTTGTTACCCTTGCTATAGTCCTTGCTTACATTCCTTTGTGCAATAGCCCTTAAGCTGGACAGAGTCTAGAGGAGATGTGGTTCCTAGGCTTTCTCATACAGTCTAGCACTTCCTCTTCCTTCAGCTCCCATTTGATTTCAGGAGAAACGGACAGAGCAAGGGTTTGCTGCTGCCTGCAATCTCTAAGGAAGACAACCTCTCAAGCCCTTAGTCTTCTTTAGCTGTTGTTAATCATGTAACCTTCAGCTGCTGTCTAATATGTGAACACTTCACCTTGCCTTTTAGAAGTGAATTTGATCGTCTTCATCTCATAAGCAGGACAGGACCATGGTCTATTGATTAAAAATGAGAAATAGGAGCTATAGAGCATGTTGAACAGCAAATGAGAGGAACAAATAAACAGTCTATACCGACTGTTTGCCTGGCTTCAGGATTTTCTCTAAGTTACCTCAAGAAAAACTTGCTGTAAGAGTCAGCAACTGACTTGGATATTTTATAAAAAACAAACAAACCATAAACCATACAATCAGTGATGTGTCAGTTTAGGCTGTTTCTCTGTAGATAAATGTAGGAAATGAGAACAGCAGCAGAAGTTTCCCTTTTCCAAATTCAAAGCTTTCTTTGCAAGTAATAGGTTAAGAGAAACTGAGATCTACATACAGTTGCATATTTCTCTTTGGCTACTCAACAATCCTCGGACAGCATAGCTACTTTGCAATTCAGAAGATAAACCTGTGGATAATGCACCTTAGTAGGCAGGTCCAACTGAAGCATGAGTAGATAGTATGGATCATAACACTATTACATTTGCTATACAACTTCAGATGAAAAGTCCACCTAGTTACGTATCCTTTTTCAGCGGTGGACAAAGTATATCCTTAGGGAAAAGTGTAAGACAAGTATAAAGTGATACTTCCCTGAATCCTCAGAGGACAACCATTTGCCCTTCAGGAACTTCTTGAGCTGGAGGAGTGTCCCATGGCACCTTCTCCCATAAAGAAGCTGCATATCCCTGTACACACCCATGCAAACTTTTAGCATTCACACTGACAAGTGGTATCTGTAAAGAAACATTTTGTTTTGAACATGCCACCTGCTAGCTTCATTGGATGCCCTCTTATTTTTGCACTGGAACGAGTAAACAGTAGATCTGTACTGATTTCTCCATGCACTCCTGAGTGTTGTTTTTGCAGGCTGCTTATCTCTTACAGAATATTTTTAATTGGATTTCTTCCTTAATTCCGAGAGCAAAAAGATGTCGTAAAACTTTCTGTATGTCTAGCGAAATAGGGATATACTGACTGAAATCCTGTCTCCATTGGCATAACAGAAGTCAAGATTTTGACTTCTTGACTTGAATGAAGTCAAGATTTTGTCTATCTTCTGTTTAGCTGAGGAAAATTTAGGCTTATATTTAATTTCTTCATTTTTAACTTAGATTTTATCTTAGATAATTTATTACATATTCTATTTAAGCTCTCAATGCCAACATTGCTAAATGCTTGCCATTCTTTGAAAGTGTGTTCAGTAAAATGGAATACTATTTCATCCACTATATCCAACAGTCAGAAAAAAGTCTTACAGTCAGATGAAAGGAGTAGCCTGAAAGATGAATATCAGTTCAGCTGGGAGATAAAATTTAGGTTGGATGGCTAAAGGTGCCTTGGCCTAATTCCACTGTAATATGTAGCAATAGATCATAATGCACTAAGGTTCTGACTTATGCTTGTGTTTAGTGTATTTTCGTGCCTCTTCTCCAGGTTAATAACATACACCAACTTTGCTAATATCAGAGGATGACGTACTGCCCTCTATGCGAAAGGAAAGGAAAAAATTGCCCTTTTGGAGGTGGAGAGGGAAGAAGTGGTCTTGCAGTCTTTGTGACTGCAGAGCACAAGCCTAACACTCCAATGACAGCAGGGAAGGAGAAGGCAGGGATATCTCTGTTCTTCCAGGACACAAGTGTGAAATATGTTGAGAGACAAAGTACCAAAATGACAGTGGCACAATATTTTATGCACATGGAAATGACTGTACTGTGTTTTAGACTTTATATCTAAAGGCTATATGACCAAAACAGTGCCGAAGAAGAAACGGTGGCGTTAGAAAGCTGTTTCTAGACTCTTGAATTGTTAATGGAAACATTAGAACAACAAAGCAGTTAGAGATAACAAACCCTGCTTAAAACTCGGCTCTCAGATGATTTTCAATATTTACAACCTGGGTAAGAAATGTGCATTCCTCAGCTGCTCCTTTTTGATGGGTGAGAAGGTAGGAGTAAAGAGGTTTTTATAGTCCTGTTCGCATTGATGGTAGTTCTGGCTATACATCAAAATAGCCACACTGGTAAAGTTTTATAATGTTGATATGACTTAGTCCGCCATCCTCCCTTCAAGCTCCATCAAAAATTAATTTTAAGTTTTTTCCATCTTTCAGAAACTTAACTTAAGATGCTTAACTTTCTCCCACCACCAAAAGGTACTGCACTCAAAATCTTAGTTTTATCCTCTTACAGTCATTGCAGTCTGCCTTATTATCACTCTTCTATCCTACAGAATTTTCCATTTTCAATAATGGGCTTATCTTTACAGAAGATTTTCTATGATCATTTTCATTCAAAAATAAATGCATTTGAATAATATTTCTAATGTATCCATATATTTGGCTCTCCCTTGAGTAAAAGGCAGTGGAAGTAGCAGAAAATCTCCATTACTTTGCACAGGTAGATGACATTTTTACATGCCCGTGAAGTTTTTCCAATGAAATGGTGCTTGAAAATGTGGTTAAAGAAGAAAACATTTGAGTATATTTTTAAATTTATTAAGAATAAAGAATTAAAACAAAATGAACATAAAATATTTCTTCAAAAATTATAAAGAAGAAAAATTAATTCTTTCAAAAAAGCTATTTTAGGGGGTGAAAAATATTTCATTAAAACACACAAAGCTTTAGCTTGCTAACCACATCTGACGCCTGGGCAAGAGTTAGTAGTTCAAAACCGCCACTTTATATTCACAGAATTACAGAATGGTTGATGTTTGAAGGAACTTTTGAAGATCAACTAGTCTGACATCGCTCGATCACAGCAGGGTGGTCGCAGGTTGCTCAGAGCCATGTCCACTCAGGTTTTGAATATCTCCAAGGATGGAAACGTCATAGCCTCTGGGCCACCTACTCCACACCTCACAGGATCACCCTCACAGGTAAAAAAGTTTATTATGTTTAAATGGAATTTCCTGTATTTCAGATGCCTCTTTTCCTATCACTGGGCCACACTGAGAAGAACCTGGCTTTGTCTTCTTTACACCCTCCCACCAGATATTTATACGTATTGATCAGATCCTCGCTAAGCCTTCTCTTCTCCAGGCTGAACTCTCCCAGGCCTCTCAGCCTGGGAGATAAAATTGCATGACAGATGGTCCAGTCCCTTCATCACCTTTCTGGCCTTTCACTGGACTCAATCCAGCAGCTCCATGCCACTCTTGGACAGCCCAGGATTGGACACAGTACTCCAGGTGTGGCCTCACCAGGGCCACATCTGGGCTGAGTGGAGGGGGAGAATCACCTCCCTTGTCCCGCTTGGCAACGCTCTTCATAATTGGCCTTCTTTGTCACAGGGGCACGTTGCTGTCCCATATTCAATGTATTGTTCACCAGGACCCCCAACTCCTTCTCTGCAAAGCTGCTTTCCAGTAAGTCAGGTCCTACCCTGTACCGGTGCATGGGGTTACTCCTCCCCGAATGCAGGACTTGGTATTTCTCTTTATTGAACTTCATGGGATTCTTGTTTGCCCATTTCTCTAGCCTGTCGAGGTCCCTGCGAATGGTAGCCCAACTATCTGATGTATCAGCCATTCTCTACTTTGTATCATCTGCAGGCTTGCTGAAAGTGCACTGTGTCGCGTTATTTAGGTCACCGATGAAGAGTTAAACAGTATTGGTCCCACTGTTGAGCCCTGGGACACACCACCAGTGACTGGCCTCCCGCTGGACTTGATGACACTGATCACAACCCCCTGAACCTGGCAGTACAGTCAGTTTTCAGACTACCTCACTGACCACTTATCTAGCCTGAAATTTATCTGTTTGTCTCTGAGGATGTTATGGGAGACAGTGTCAAAAGCCTTACTAAAGTCCAAGTAAACAACATCCACTGCTCTTCCCTCATCCATCAGGCCAGTCATTTCAGAATTACTGTTTCTAAAACTATCCTACTGGTTGCTCCTAGACAAGCTTTTCAAACACTTGACTTTCAAAATACGCTTGGGTGTTTCAAAGCATTTGAGATTCAAATTCAGTACAATGACTCTTATCTCCTTAGACTTTTAGTTGGGAATGAACTACTTAATGAATACTTGGAATGAAATTCTATCCAAATAATTGTGAACATCTTTGATTTGTTGTGTTGGGAATTAGGAACCAAACAGAGTAAAAAGGAAGGAAAGAACTTTAATGATCATAGGATCGAAACCATGATTCATGACTCTATTTTTGAAGCATTAGCTGCCTGAAGAAGCAAGCAGGACATTTTGGAAAGCATATCACCATGAAACCCTCTCCCTAAATTATTAACATTAAGTTCCCTAACAAGAAGTGTATGAATTCACCAATTTTAAAGAAAGCTTTGTACAATTGCAAGAAAGTATTTGGAATCCACTATGATAGATGCACCAAAAAATATTTAATATGAAGTCACTCCAAAAACATATAAGCTAGTGCTAGCTCTCTCTAGATCAAATGATCAAATTGGCCTTGTCCACTTCCCATAGCAGCTGACATGCATTTTCTCTGGGCTCCATGTGGTTTCCTTCTAGTCTTAAGATAGAATTGTTGTGGTTTTGTTTTGTTTTGTTTTGTTTTTTCTAGAGAAAAATGCCTGAAATAAGGGGCTCTGTTGCAGATGTCCAGACTAGCATGGACTAGTTTCTGTTATGGAAATGAAGGCATTTGCTGTATATCTGGTGCATGTGTTCCATGCTCTCTGTAATCAAAAGTGAGAATATTTAAGCTATAAAACTTAATAGGGTACTAGTAGAGAACTGCTACTGCAGGAAGCTTAACTTGGTACAGCCTCATTTATGTGGACTTTTGGAATTATTTATACTACTTTTGGGGATGTTCCTTTGAGCGAAATATCAACCCAATCATGTCCTGGCTTTGTCTTGGAAAGAACTAACTGAAGAGGTCCAAAACTCAGCCAACAAGCAAGAAAACTATCAAGAATTGTGGACAATCGAGTGTTCAGTAGTCAAGCTCCATTCCAGATCCTCTTATATCCTCCAGTATAACATTTATCAAGAGCCTATATTTTTCAAAGGAAGCAAGTTAGGCTGACAGGTCTATAATTTCAGAGTTCCTCTTTTTTCCATTTATTAAAGACAGATACTTTACGATTTTCTGTTTTTAGTCTTCTAGAGTCTCACTGATATTCCATGAGTTTTCAAAAATAATTACTAATTAATTTGAAATTCTGTTAGCTTGTTCTTTAATTACCTCTCGGTCAAAACCATCGGGCCAGCCTGATCGGTAACATTTACTTTATCAAAGGCCTCTCCAAACATTTCTTTTCTTACTGAAGCTTGAATTATTACCCCTTTGTTGCTAACGCCAATTGTATTAGTCATCTAACGGCAGTTGGCTTTTCCAGGTAAGAGGGAAGCAAAAAGACATTTAACCCATCAACCTCCTCAGCCTCATCTGTTGCTCGTTTTCCTTCCATGTTGCAAAGCCTTGTCTTTCCTTGGATCTTGTTACATTTTCTAATTAAATATGCCTTTTAAATTTACAGGTAACTCCGAGGCTGAGGAAAGCTGTAGCCACACTCAAAGTTTGATTCGGAATTTAGAACAGCGGAAACAAACTGATGGAACGGGCTGAAAAGGCCTGAGACCCACAGAGCTTGGCTGAGGTCCATCCAGACAGTGCAGAAGACAGAGCATAACTCCAGCAGCGACTGGGTGCACAGGGCTGAGCTGAAATGGAGCCCTTGGGCTCCTGGAAGGGCTGTGGGCGGAGGTCCCAGGCGAGGCTCGTCAAGGCAAATTAAGGCCTATCGGTTCTCTCAGGGCACCAAATTATTATTTCTTGTAAGTTCCTGTAAAGTCTTCTGTCTCACGCTATAGACTGAGCAAAACTTCCTCATAAGAGAACGGTAGTATTCCTATTCATGGCCCAGAAAACAGTTTGTGCCATTTACAGGATTTTCCCTTTTTTTCTAGAATGCATTGACAGGCGGGCAATGGGATGGTTATAGTAGATTGTACGTAATTCTCTCCAAATCCCACCTCTGCAAGCCTTGTATAACTGAATGTGTATTATCCTTCCTTATCTGTGTTTGTAGTTTCCATTTGATGAATCCTTAGTTTGCACATGACACTGATATCATGACTTGATATTAGTTGCCAGGTTCATGATCTTGGAATTTGTACCATGAAATTCATTTCATTCTCTAGGTCAGCTGGTGATTCGTGTGTGATATCCTGATCCTTGTCTGCTTCTGTTATAACTCATAGCTTTATGTTATTATGAAATTTCATGGCCATATTCTTATTTTTTGTTCTGACCATTAATGAAAATATGAAATAAAGTTAGTCCTTGAGGCACCATTAGTTTCTATTCGGCCTGATATCTCATTCCTACAAGCTGTGCTGTTGTTAGACAGATTCTGACATGTCTTACAGTTTGCCTACTGTTCCCATTTTCAGTACTAATTTATCATGTGGGACTGTATTAGATGCTTCACTGATTGCCAAACACATGAGATTCATCATATTGAATTAACCTAGAAACTGATTTAACATGTCAAAGAAAGAAATTAGATTTACTTTGGCATAGTTTAGCTTTGAAAAACTAATGCTGTATTTTATACTGGGTTTTATAACTAATCTGGTTTTATGATGTCCTTTGAAAGTACTGCATTTGTTTTTTTCTACTCAGGTGGGCAACTCTTACTGTGATAATATATTTTTAAATGTCATATTGCATTCTCTTGTAAGGAAAAAAAACCTGAAAGTGTTTCCTTTTCATTTACAGTTTTTACGACTCTTTAGATTTTCAAATCTTAGAAAAACTCTGATTGCATCATTTGTGTCTGAAAGATATACTATTTAAGCAATAAAATTTTGGCTGGAACAAAATCAAATTCATGTGTTAATGAAAAAAATCTCATCTCTTGTAGTCTCCACACAAAAAAAGTATTATTAGGTTAAATTTATAACTAAAAGAAAATTTCAGTAATTTTGGAATATTTTAATCTTGGGGATCTAAGTGAAAATAAGGAACGTAAAAAAGAGAAGATTAAGGCCAGAAATTCCTTTTCTACTGTGTCACAGAACATCTGCAAGAATCAAATGCTCCCAGTGAGGTTTAATTACCTTCTTACCCCAAATTAACTAACACAATTTATCTCACTTGCATTAAGGGAGCAGCAAGGAGAAGATAACTTGAATTGGTAGGTTGCATTCAGCCCTTCTCTAGAAAGATGATATTTACAATTTTGTCATGAACATTGCTATTTTGACTCTGGCCCAAGTTAGAGGTATTTTACCCTTTCCCCTCCCCATACATTCATCTCACAGGGATTTGGGCAACATGCCTCAACAAGCATGACTTCTCCAGAGTCACTTGTGAACCTTGTATATTTGATAAATGTGCACACTTCCCTTTGATACTGACAGTTTTCTTACATAATCATTTACTTTTTACATTCTTGCTCTCTCTTCAAGGAAAAGACAGAAGTACATTTTTTGAAATGAAAGTATCTGTTTGTACCATTGCTTCGGCATATCTTTCAGCAGTGGGAGGGGGAGCACTTCATGCCATAATTAAAAGATCAATGAATACTATTCTGCAGCTCGGTTACTATGCTAATTTTTAGCTCTTCAAATTTTTATTTGCTTATATCAAAATAATAAAAAATTAGAAGACTTTCCAAATTCCAGTCTCCTATTTTTGTTATGTTTGAATTCAGCAACTGCTTGTCTGATCATTTCAAATTATATAGAAAAATAATATCTGGTTCCACACAGCTTAAAACTGTCATTCCCATAATTATTTGAGTTTTCCCTTCTTAGAAGAGACAAAGTAAAATAATTTCCTTGAATAACAGTGATGTAATAGTTATACTACAAAATTAAGCTTACACATAGGAATATAGGAATAATTCCTATGATTTTATTTGATGTTTAAATATTATTTCCATTTACGTATTTCTCCTTAATCATTTCCTAGAAAAAGAAAACTTTAATATACAAACAACATGAGATTTTTATCTCACTTTACACCAGTGTAAATTATAACAATGTCTGGTAAAACAAGGCTAAAGCATAAAGTGATTAAGTAGTTTATAAAACTATAGTTCTCATGATAGACAGAACATTGCATGACATGGCTTAAGTCAAAGTACATCGTAGAAAAAATATTTACATAGGTTAATCAATACCATCTTGTCTAAGAGAAATTGTTTTTTCAACAAAACGTGATCATATGAAAAAGTCTTATGTCAAGTGCTGAATTTTTTTACTGAAAAACAAGTCCTCCCTCCCATTTTACCCCTCCCACTGAAAAGAAAAATTTCATCTGATAATTGAAATCTTATCTGAAATGCAAGAATTAAGAATAGCGCCACATCAGGATTATAGCTTAGGTACTTTTAAATTAGCCTCTTTCTAACCTGCAAGCCATGTTCTCCTAGCATTTTAAGTCTTTAGCAAAGCACCATCTTCTCTCATTAAAAAGAAAAATTACAATGCATGGTAGGAAGCCCCAGGCCAGGGAGCTTATCCCATGAATGGAAAATGGATATGTGAGTACGTGATCTACCAGTCCAATGAGATAGCTCCTTCACATTTCCAGAGAGAAATATTTTATTTTAATTTTTTGTTGAAAATTCAGCATTATCTTGGAAATCTGTTAATTTTTTGGATTGCTAGTATTAAATAGCAGATGAGATGGAAAATGCAGGATAACCAATGTTTTCTATTTTAAAGATCCTCAGAGATCTAGAGCAACACTCGTGGACACTATGGACTAAAATGAGCCAGCAAAGTTAAAATGTCCTGTTCCTCAGGGGTGCTGCCACTAGTTATTCCTATTGGCCTGAGTAGGAATTTTGAGCTTATAGCACCTTTGAGTATCACATAAGTTTTATTTAAGTGGTTAGTTTTTAGGCACTCCAGTCTGAAGAAAAAAAACATGGCAATTTACTGTAATGTTATGAAAACATGTGCAACTTGCAGCACTCTGAGTTCATATTTAAGAGGCTTAGTAAAGTAACTTGGAATATCACAAAATCAATCTGAAGTGAAACTTCCATAAAAAACATGGAATTTACTGCAAGTGAAGCAGCAGGAAAAGAAGTGCAAAATAATTCCAGAATATCACTAGTGCATAAGTAAGCATTCCTTGCAAATAAGTCACTCATTAATAGAAACAGGATATAAATAAATGATGTTTGAGACTGCTTTCAAATGCTTGTAGTTCTTTATATGATACAATTTAGAATGTTCCACAGCATCTAAAATATATAAAAATAAATATCTACAGTATTTACAAAGTATGGTACAATCTAATCTTTAAAAAGACTTGTAAAGACATGTTCTTTAGCTCATACTGAGGTAAGTAGGTTTCCATAAGACTGAGAAGAAATAGAAGAGGCAGTTATTTTGAAGGAATCTGTTTGTCCTGTTATTCTAGTCTGCAACACAGCTAAAAACGTGCCATTTTCAGGTGGTCTTAAACGTACTGAGCCAAAGTCAGCCTTGTTGTAATTCCAGCGAGGTAAGTTTAGTTATGCTAGGGATGAATTTGTCCCACTTTGCACTCTCTGCTGCACCAGTGTCTTCTGCAGAAACTGTCACTGCTTCATCCAAATTTGAAGTCATACTCATCCCTGGTATGTGGAGATGCAGTTCCACTGATTTCAATGGGCTCAGTGTAGCTGTGATACCTGTAACGTAAAATACAGATTTTTAAGGTGATTTTACTGCTAGTAAAATATAGCTGACTGGCAAATTTTAAGCAAACACTCCTTTACTGAAGTCTAAGGGCATTTCTAATGCATAGATCTTGTTTTTCTTACTGTTAAATGTTGTAAACATGTTCTATTACCTATCTAATAGTCATCTGCTAAATTAGCCTATGGTTCCTAATTCAGACACTACTCTGAACAGTACAACACTACAGATTTTTGTGTACCAGTCAAAACAAGGCAGGTGCAGACAGGAGCATGATGACAGATAATGGATATAGAGTAAAACATCATCTACAGCCACACTGTCATCTGGGTTTCACTGTTGTAACCTGGCTTGTGCCACACACATAGGAAGGGCAACAGTACTGGAGGAAAGCAAGCTGAAATTGAGAAAAAAAAAAAGTTTTACAATGATTTTGTAAAGCTTATACTAGTACAGCTGGAAGAATGAATAACATATATACCTCATCTTGACACTCTGCCAGAAGTTGCATGCCTGTACCCCTTTCCTTTGCCAGCTTTGTCTTCCTTATTAGAAATGTTGTTCTTAAGTGTGACTGCAACTTTACTTCTCAGTCTTATGAAGGCATTTTGTAATCAAAACAACCACAATTTCTTACTTAGTATAATGCTGAGTGATGTAGGATTTCCTACTGAGTCCTGTAAGAAGAGGTTCAGGTAGGAGCTCCACATGACTAAAGGACTATCTGTAGATCATGATCAGGAGCAGATGTCAATCTGTGCATGACTCTAGAATAGCTGTCTTCTATTTTGCAGTCTCTTTTCTAATGGGACTAGATATCGCTAGTTCCACAACACCTAAAGTGCAAATGCCCAACCACCAGTAATACAGGAGTTCAATGCCTGCCACTAAGACTATGGGTGAGATTCAGTTTAACATTAAGATGCCTAAATATAAGGCTTCTCAAGTGCTTGTTTATGCCTCAATTTAATTGAGCCTAGATCTCTGTTGGGTGCTTATACACCTAAAGAACCTGTTTTCACCTACATTTAGGTATCTTCATCTTGAACTAATACCCCACCCTACAATCCTTGAGGAAGAAAGTCCTTTTCTAACATCACACAGATCTTGATTTGGTTGCCTATGTTTTGATATCTTTTCAGTTTTAGACTTTAGGGGGTGTCCCACCTAGCTGTCAGCTGTTGCTTCAGAAGAGCAGCAGAAAACTATGTTTGGGCAACTGAATCTACCCCTTTCGGTGCAATTCATTTCACCTAGCTTTAAAGATCTGAAATGGAATTGTCTAAGATACCTTGTGATCTTCTTATAGTAAGTGGAGGGAATAGACACCTTCAGAGGTAACTCATCTCATCCTTTTTTGACACCTATTCTAAGCATAGATTAGCAGTCTTTGGAGATACTATTTTCTCACTGTTATCAATAAAAGCAGCCTATATAGTCTATAGTGGCTAAGCTAATTTCTAGACAATCACTGTTCACATTCCTGGGAGAGTAGGGATGAATACCGTGCTTGCAATCCCCGATAAATACCAGCTGGGAAATAATGTAATGAGAAATATCAAATAATAAATTATATACTATTTTTGCTTTATTCAGGAAGCTAGGAAATTGCACCATCATTTCAGTGTCCACCCAAAATTGGGAAAGCTTGAATAATTTCTGCCTTTCATTTCACATTGAGTTCACCTGTTTATCAATTTGTACTGGCAAAAAAAATCAAGAGTGGCTTCCCAGATGTTCCTGAATATATAGAATAAGCTCAGCCAATAGGAAAAAGAACAAGAAATGCAAGAAAGAATATTAATGTGAATTCCTTATTTGACCAGCCCAGCTCACAACTGAATGCCTGGTGAGCAGATCATTTGAAATAGACAAGGACATTCAAATAGTACAATCTATACACTGAACTTCGGTTAAAATGTTTGTTATAGAATGCTCTATACTTGTAGGAAATAATTAACTCTGAGCAGAATATAGCCATTAATAAACACATTGCAACTCCATGGAAATTTTTTTCTTATTTTCAGGTACCTGCTATTTACTTAGACGTCTAAAGGAAAGAGTAATGCAGTGAAAAACATTTATATGAAATACAGTTACCCTTCCCTGTTCCAAATTGCAACACATATTTTGAAATGAATGATATGAAATTTTGACTCATCAGTGTATAATCAAAGTTGTAGTTTACTGTATAAAATATTTCTTTTAAACTACTTTTTTACTTTCAGTTCTTAATTGTAAATACTTTTCTCTCATTCAGATTCTTTGAATCTTTGAATTTCAGATTCAAGGATTGTTCTATGCACAATTAAATTCTAACTTCATAGCATCAAAAGACACAGAGACAAGTATACTACCAGTGGAGAATAGGTGCAGTACCATTTGCCGGAAGTGTGTTTATGTTGGTCAATACAACATGTTCTGAAAGTTTTGAAATATTATCAAAATTGCTGATCTGGGTGGTCAAGGACTTTCGACTCTCTGTACTGGCACGACCTCTGGTAAGCCGCTCATCATGGTGATGGTGAATGCCAAAGAAGCAACAAGAAAATGCTGCTTTAAATTCTTCTCTAAATTTCCCTGTCAATCACAAAAAAAGACTCATAGAAACATTATGTTATAAACTATACTTTAACCAAGCTTATAGATTAGAAAGAAGCAGCTACCTAATGCAAAATCAACCTAGAATATGCAAATGTCCTTCTCAAGCCACTGAAGCAGGAAGTCCCAATTTCAGCAGCTTGGGGAAAGACAGAAAAGATATAACCTTCACAAGAACGTATGTGACATATGGTATGAATCCTTATTATTCTTGGCTAGATAGAACAGAAAAACTACAGTGACTTCTGAATTTATGCTGTAGATAGTTTGTTGATTAATAACATATGTAATGAAAGCAAATGACTAAGCACTGGTACGCTTAAATGACTGAAACATTATCTGACATGTGAAATGAGAGGGCATGGCTAACTTGTGTTTCATCTTGAATACATTTAAAAAGCAAATTCAAATTAACCTGCTTTTAGAGCTCATAGTAAATTGTTCAAGTCATTCTCACGCTACATACAATAAAAAACTACAGTTCTCCAGATAAGCAAAATAATACAAATCCAAACTAAGACAAATACATACTAGTAAACTAAATAGCATCCTGGCATGTTCTTTGGCCTGAAACCTAGTTAGCATAGTCTGGCCATGCCTGCACTATTAAATCCTCACAGTCTCCAAAACCTGGTGGCCTCAAATAAAATGCCAGCTGGGGACAGCTACTGGCCTGTGCTAACTCCCATCCAGGAGTAACTGTAACTAACTGTATCCAGGGAGTGTTTTGGGGGAATAGTAACTATTTCAGGCCAAAATCATGCCAGAGACTTCTCTAACGAATTAACGGCATGGACAGTCAAATTCAAGCACTTGGACCCATGCCTTGGCACCGTTTAGTTTACTTAGCTTGAAGGTAATGGAATATATGAGGCAACTTATTCCAAAAAGAGGATCTGGCTCCCACTGGAGGAGCTATGCTGGTGTTACACAGTCATTAATCTTTGCTGTGGCTCATTACATTTAAGCTATACATTAAACTTGAATTTTAGGTAACTGCAACTTACCACTGAGGAAGTTATAAATAATAGGATTGGCTGCACTGTTTGCATATACAAGCCAGTGTGAGAATGTGAACCAGGCATATACAGTTTCTCTGTCATCAGCATGATTAAACATCCCAAAAACCCTAAGGGAAAAGAAAAGCAAACCTGAAAGATGGCAAAATTAGAAAACATATAAGAAGTCAAAGGCAACTTCTAGTCTACATTTGTCTCAGATGACTTATTTCCAATATCACAGAAAAGATGATGCAACACTGCTAGCTTTCTTGAGAGAGTAAAGAGCTCTCCCCATTTATCAGCCTCTTTTTTTAATGGTTTTGTACAACATACAGTCCATAAGCACTTTGCTTTTTAGGGGTGCAGAGGTATAATTCTGCTGCAAATAGCTTAAGTAAATGATTGCCAGATTAGCCAAGCTGCTTTTGTCTTATTCCTGTCATTGCGCTTTCCAATTTCGGGCCCAGTTTCCTGGGAATGGCACCAAACTGGCCCAAAACTGAGCTATAGAGGTCATAATAGCAGCCTCTGTCCTCCAGAGAAACATGCTTTGCCCAGACTCCTTACACCTAATTTTTGCTATTTGTTTTTGCCTAGACTCCTGCAGTAGCCTATGCAGCCTTCGTAATTCCTCTGTGGAGCGTGGTTATGCTCACAGGTAATCTGGGTTGCCTTCTGGAAATACCTCTCCCTCTCTGCTTTGCCTACCAAGGGACCTGTAGATGAATAAGCACTTAAATTATGCCTCAGGAAAGTGCTAGAATTGAGTGGGATATATTTAAGCCTCCATGTCCAACTTGAAATGTTCCTCAATCACAAGCCTCCAACAAAAGCGAGTTTCCATTTTAAGATATCTTTCTCTGGAAATTAGCAAATGGCTTCTAGATATCAGTATTCCAAGATAATCAGTATTCCAAAGGTCTCTAAAGGTGTAAGTATATCAAGGCCTCAAACTGCTAGGCACTGTACAAAAAATAGCGTATAAAAAATTTTCTGTCTCAAGTGAACAAGGCAGAAAAAGGTAAAAATGTAAAAAACAGCTTCACATACAAACTGCAGGATTAGCCTAAGGTCTCACTATTATACATGATGGAGCTCAGGCTAGAGTGTGGTATTTCTCAGTCCTCAGGACCATATCACAGCACTGTAGTCTCCCACGAACCTTCAGGTGGTGCTGGTTTGTGTGTGCATTTACAGCAAAAAAGCTGTAATCCCACGTAAATGACAAAAAGAACAACATGCAGGTAGGTTATATCATTTTCATGAATCAGAGCTTGCTAAAAGAGGTTCTACAATCTGACCTTCGATTTCTGCACTATGGATAGCTTAGCTACATATTTTTTGCAACTTTACGCTTATTTTCAGTTTCTTTAGCAAGAAATATGTTGGCTTCACTCTCAAAAGTATCTGTCAGCATAAAAGGAATCACACCACAGAGAATTGTTTTTAGCAGAAAGCTTTACCAAGTGTTTACATTTTTTACCTTTTTAAGACATTGAGGATGCTAATTGGCAAATAGCAAAGTGCAAAAACCAGGAGGACAACCATTAGCATACGTGCTGTTTTCCTTCTTGCACGAATCTGTTTTATTTCAGCTGCCACAGCACTAATCTTTGACTTTGTTGATTGCCCCATCCCTCGGGGCAGTGCTGAGGACTGCAGAGGCTTCCATTTTTTCTGAACAACAGAAGAAGTTCCTGGGATCTAAAAAAGAACACAGTAAGTGGTATCCTCATTATTGGCACTTTGAGAAACAAACACTGTGGATAGCTATAACAAGACAACTAGACATGTTGACATATACAAGGTAAACTTACAGGGAGAAGTATTCTTTTTTATTAAATTAATTGATGTAGCTGGAAGAAACAAATTGGCTTTCAGACAAACTTGAAGCAGTGCACAAAAATTAGCATTTTATACAAATATATCAATTCATGTAGTAAAAGATGTCTTCACTTCCCACACACCTCACCTTGCTCATATCTTCAGACTGTCACACTTACCAACCGTATTACTATAAATTAATACTGCTATAAAGTTCTACATTAAACGCTTTCTTGTATAACAGAATAGTCTATCCTACTAATATGCTGCTAATTTAAGGTACTCAGTAGCTTTTCAGTAAAGGGAAAACAAAGATTTAAAGCCTACACAGTTTTGAATATTGTAGAATTTTCAAATATGCAACCTAAATGACAATGAAGCAACTAAAGAAGTCATAGCTAAAATATGGATATCTCTGCAAAGGTCTTCAAACTGAATGTGTGTACAATGATGGACAGAGTGGGAATCATGGAAAAGTGCCAAGGCATAGGGAGAGTTTGGTCAGCCAAAGACACCTTGCTATGGGTAGATGCTGCACCAAGGCTATTAAAAAAAGTCTCAGTATTTACTTTTCTGCCCTACTGTAAGCTAAGCCAGATAAAATAATTTTGCTTCAGTTCTTCAAAATTATTTCCTGTCTGCAGCCAAATGTGAAAGACTACAGATGCCAATAACTTTATATCCTATTACAATGATGTTCATAATATGATTTCAACATTATACTTACTTTCTGAAAATCTTTTGGGCAGAAACATAGTTTTATTCATGAGTAGTGCAATTGTTTACAGTATAACTAGTCCCATGAGTATAAAATAATTCATATTTAAAAGTACTTGCAGAATACAGATCTTCCACTGCGTCATTTTAAAAATTAGGGCTCATTCACACAAACTGATAAGAAGAAAAGAAAATTTTGGATACTTATTTCTGGAACAAAGTCAGTTAAAAGGGAAATACCTGTTCTAAAATAAAAGTATGCACATGTAGAATTTTTCTAGTATTGCTATTATGTTTTAAATTTGGACCCTGCATTTTTTCATGCATAGCTTCCTTGCACAGACAAGCCCTTAATTTAGTATATATGAGCACCCTCAAACCTGATTTACAACTGTGGGAACCTTTTGGTGAAGTTCTATTAAAATGAACAAGAAATCAATGACATAGAACAGGAGGATACACAACAAAATTTATTTTTTACCAACGTGTCTTTGGACACAAAGCAAAAATATTGCATCTTAATACTTCTACCGAGTATTCCCACTCATTCAGCTGAAATTAATAATGTCTGTTTCACATCTTAACGTGTCTGCCCCATTTCAGGAAACTTATCCTACTCAATTAGAGGGTACATCACTGTAGTGTGCCTTTGCCATACACTACTGAGATAATATACTTTATAAGGTTCTTATTCTGGGTTCTCAGGGGTATTTTGATATTCTATTCTTTTAATGCCAAAATGCTCTTCCTTCCTTTTTAGTTACATTGAATTACCATATTTGTAGCAAGAACTGATCAGAAAAGGAGATGGAAGTGGAGAAACTTGACCAAATCTGTCCTAACCTCACCCTCCTCATTATGCCAAAGATTCACCTTAGGAATTTTGTGAGCAACTTTTTTAGTAGCTAGATGCAGCTCAGATGAAAAGAAACAGAATCTTGGCTAAAGACTGTGAATGGCTGTTTCTACAGAGATGTTAGACATGACTGCGTACACAGCTTGTTTGTGTCTGTGCAGGTAGACATGTCTTACCTGCTATTCAAGCAGTCTTAAACAGCAAGAGGTGATCAAAGCTAGGGGTTGTGATACAATGTATGATCTCATTGTACTACCTATCAAATTACTGGATCTTTCAGGAGTCTGTATGGAGACTGTTTCTACAGAAACCTCTTCTCCTCTGTCTTTACTTGGCAAATATCTAGGCTTTAGTACTTTTAGTCCAGTAAGCGATGCAGCAAGAGTTTCAGGTAGGGAAAAAAAAAAAGAAAAAACCCACAGAAGCATGGCTGAACCAGCATCCTCTAAGGAGCATAACACTTCATAAGCATGTGCCTGTATGTATATATGTGTACAGATACGTTTACAAATATGCTTATATGTGAATACATGCATATGTATTCTGCTAAGTATACACATGCCAGCATAATTTATACACTTGCTTTTATTATTGAATCAGTCATAGAGATAATTATGTGGAATTTGTATAATGCCTATAACTCACAAAAAACTCCCTAGCTGTGTCCAGACATGTACTAAAAGTCACAATGTTACTGCTTTCTGCACCTTTCCTCTGACCCCTCAAATCAGTATCAAGGGATTTATTGAAGAACTGAGGAAATCTCTCCAAATGTAAAAACACCTTCCAAAGATTGCAAGGATATATTTCAGCTGCCAAAACAAAAAGGGGCAGAGTTCCTGCTTACTAATATAAAAAAAGGCTTTAGCATAAATGCATTTGGACATCAGTATATCCAAGTATATAGTATGCAGCTAGATAATATATGAATTATGTATCAACACTATTATCATGAGACCATTCGGTCCTATTTGCTTGTTCAGATGTTACTTTTAATCTCCTCCTTAAAATCCACAGAAGAACATAGTCTTCTAAGTCACTACTTCCTCGCTAATGATTAAAATAAATTACTCAAAATCCCTGGTATCTGTGGCATGACCGTACTTCCTTTTACAAGGACAAATCTATAATTTAAAGATTGTTATGCTTTTATGCAAAGACCTGCTTGAAAGACATAACCATCAGTTGTAAGAGCTAGTGCACAGAGTATGGTAGGGATGGTTTGTGAATCTGTCTTACCTTTAGTCATTTGAAAATTTGCATATACTACAGACTCCGTTTTAAAAAATAACCTTTAGAAAAACTGTAAAGCATAACAAGATTTTGCTGTTCGCTGTTTATTCTGTTGCATACATCTGGAAGGTTCATTGTCGCTCACAAGAGAAGCACCATATTTAACTAAAATTCTGTTAAATAGCCTCATTTCGTAATTGAAGCTATTATGAAATAATAGATGTAGACCACTGTACTAATTTGCTCTACATGACTTATTACAGCACACCTGTTTCACTTAGAAAAATGCTTGATGTCTGCAGCCAAGTTACAGTTGTTAATAGATGTGAAGTGGTTTTAATTTCACTTAGTGTGGCCCCTCCTACATAGTGCTATTATCTATGCTAGGAAAACAGACACCTGTAATTTTCCATCATTGACAGCTCTAAGGCCATAGCAGTATTTGCCTTTTTGACACTGGAAAAAAAAAATTATATAAGAATCATCCTAACATTGTTTTTCAGTGGGCAAGACGCATAAGTAGAATATCTTTAATCAGGCCAACTAATATGACTAGGGGAAAAAACCAAAACAAGTTAGTTTCCCGGCATTTCTGCTCTGAATCTTAACTAGCAAATTTCAAACCACACACAGGTTAAGAATAATTGTTTTGCATTAACTTAATTAATGGTTAGCCTGAGAAAATAAGTGGACTGTACAACAGAGAAGGTTAAGAAGGATAGTAGTTACAAGATCATTGGGGCCTACAGGACAAAAAGAGAGACAGATAATTATTCAACAATCTTAAATCTTAAATCTATGTTAGACTGAATTTAATTTCAAAACTAACTGAGCTAAGCCTTCTTTTCTGGTGAAGAGAGAGGGTCCCCTCAAATTGTAAAGGTTAAATCTGATGTTAAAACTATCTTATTAATCTTATAAATGTAAGGAATTAAAATAATAATAATAATTTAAAGAAAAACAGTGAGATTTTTATTTTGCTTTAACTTAATATGATTAGAAGTGAGAATAATTGCTATTCTGATGAACAGGTGATATCATAACGCCTTAAAGCTAAAGCCAGTTTTGTTTCTTCCCATATTTTCACTATTTGTGGGATATATGTATTTTGTCAGTGTGAGAATAGATTTTTATTTTTAACATGCATACACTTGGATATTCAAAGTATACTCGTGATTTCCCTAAAGGATTAAACTGAACTGTACAGAACATGCTTCTAATGTGGTGCTTCTGTATTATGCCCAAGACAGGACAGCCTCAAATTCAAACAGTACCAAATATAATGGTGAGAGAGAAATGATTCATGCCCATGTCTTGATGTAAATGACAGTCATTGTTAGAGCTGTTTGAGAGGAAAGGACAGGAAATATCTTGCATCATATCTTCAACAAGATGAGTTTATTGCCCTTTATAGAATGGCAGCTAGGGAGGCTACAGCTATTGATAAATCCTGGGCAAAGCAGTAGACAGTAGATGGAAACATGAACTGATGCATGATTGATTACAGCATAGCTTGCATCCAGAAAATGATTCTCAAGCAAGCTAAAACCACTTGGAAATGTTGTTATTGGAAAAACGTTCCTGAAAACAATTCACATCATTTTTACCACTTCAATTCAAATGTTCTTTGTGAGCCTGATTACTTGCTTGTTCGGATTTTGTTATTTGTTTTCTGACCTGTCTTTCTAATTTGAAGCTTGAGAAATTACATGTTCACATTAGAAATTATTGCAATTATTTGTAATAATTCACATCAAACATGACTGATAATATCCAGGTTCACACCAGACAATTTCAATTTCACAGTTCTAGGCCAAATTTTGTTCAGACTGGACTCACTATAAAATTGATACTTTATAAAATTAAAAATAAAAAAAAACAGTTAAGCAGACTAACAAAATGAGAAAGACAATCCTAACTTCCGACTGCTATAGGAGATTTTAGAAGTATAAAATCATTATATAAGGTCACCTACATCTATCTTTCAGTAAGCATTTCAAACAGAATGGGAGAGAGCTTTCTTCTTCCTAAAATGAATCTTTCTGCACTCTTTTCATCTCTTTATTTCCCTCTCAGAAGTCTCGCATAGATGTGAGCAAAGCAGTCTGACTGTCTTCATTTCTGAATGCATCTCAGTTCTTATTCTCGGGGGCTGTACCCAGCAGTGTAACAGAACTTGGTAACAGTGCTGGCTATAAAAACCTATATAAGTCAGATCCTAAGTGACACTATGGAATACATAGAGAAGGTTATACATGAGAATAGATACACTGTCATAACAGCAAGCAAACAAAGCTAGTATAAATGACTTACCTGGCGACACCACAGCTTTCGAAATATTTGCAAATAGGCCAACACCATAAGACACAATGGTGCCATGTATGTCACCAGAAAAAAACACGTGTGATACATTCTGGGGTAAACCTCAGCTGGAAAGAGAATTCAAATAGAAAGA